GGGGTAGAATGTGTTTTCTTTGTAAAATTTTTTTATGCATTATTAATTTTCTCTAAGTACATATAACTTTTATACTAAACTTTTAAACATAAAACATACACTTAAAGCCACATGTCGTTGTATTAAAAACAACACACAAATGTATTGTATAAACCGCATCAATCTTTGAAGTATTGTTTTCTCATCGTATTTTCTTTAGATCAGTAAGAATCACTTTGGCTTGAACTCACTTTCGATTAGTCTCTTTCCTTTCAATCAGACAGCTCCCTTCTAAGGACAGGCCCGCGAAGAGTCCTCTTGACTTGCAATACGTAAAGACGGCAGCAGATTTCCTCAGGGCGACATTGCCTTCCAAATTCCTGCAAAATAGGAGATTTTCACGAGAGCCTCTAAACCTACAGATAATTATCCAAATAGCACTGTGATTCTAGCTCAAAATAATTATATTATTCCATAGGTACTTCAACTGTTTTTGCACGTTTTACTTCCTGCTGGCCTAAGCCAGATGTTTCAGGGTGGCCTAGAGGAAGAACACATAAGGGTGTTTCAAAAACTTCATGGAAAAATAGAATTAAAACATAATACGGATCTTTCCTTGAACTTTTTGAAGCACCTCGTTTGAGTTAAAATTACTGTAGAAGGATGTGATAATGTAGAACACAGATCAGGCTGATATTTTCCACCTGGATCTTCCTCCCCTAAAACAGGAAAATACACCTCCAGAATGGTAAAGAGTTTGGATTCTTTTTACACTGAGTATTTTCGTGGAACCTAGAAACCATTTTACATAATTTTACTGTGTAACCTGCATAAATGGTCTGGGTATACACAGCTCCATTAACCCAAGAACAGTATTTAACTAATAGGAAAGTACACTTTAAGTTTTGTAAGTGTCGCTCGAGTAAAACACATCCATTTCAAATTTTATTTATTTACTTATTTTAAAATTTATTTTATTAATATATATATTTTTTACATTCTAGGATGCTGTTGTGGAGCAGGTGGGAGGGAAGGGCGAAGGGGAAGGGGGAAGAAATGGGATGGAAGGAGGATGGGTGGGATTGAGGCCTGCGGCACCCCGTCATTCCCACAGGGGAAACTGGGGGCTTCCAGCGGTGGCTTGGTCATTGCCAGGCTGGGTGCAGATGTCAAGGGGGTGTGGCAAAAGCCCTCACCTCCCACCACCCCAGCTCGGGAACCCGGGGCCCTTCTTGCTGCAGCTCAGTGGTCATCACTGGGTTGGTTACATGGTGTCGGGGGTGTGGCCGAGGCCCGAGGCCCCCCTATTTCAAATGTTAATGATTTGGTCTGAAAAAATGTGTTTTCTTCCCTCATCAAAGTTGCCCTTCATCAGTTAATAAAATTTGACTTGCCTGGGCCCCCTCGAAGCTTACGGTCAATTTTATGTTCGAATCCAGCAGATACAGGGACTTCTGTTTCTGAAACACTTCATTTCTCCTTGTGTTCTCCAGTTTCAGATTTTCTAGTCTGTCACACTGGCTGTGTTTTGTGAATTTCTTATTTGTAATAATTTCGAATCCTCAGGGGGATGTGTAAATCATAAATTTGTTCATTTTAATTTTTACTCTTAATATAAAAGAAACATGTCGTTTCTAAGCCTTTACCCTAACATCTATTCTGAAAGTGCTTTTCGGGACTCACCTTCCCAAGGGCCCGACAGCCACGGTGAAGTTCCCTCCCAGGGTTAGGTTACCACCCTTAGCAAAAGCTTCCACGGCTCTGTCGTAATTCAGAATTATTACCAAATCAGACACCTAAAATGTAGAAACCCATGTATTTAAAAACAGTTAAGACTAAATACCATTTAAAATATATGCTGATTAAAACTCAAATATACTACATGTAAAATGTAACAAAATTTCAGTGTAGACAGAGAAAGAATACAAATATAATATAAATATAAATAAATATAAATAGGGTGATCAGGCAGATGCCCTGTGAGTGCCACCAGGCGCCAGGCGTGTCCTGTGAGGTTCACGTGCACCCACTGCCCCTTCAACCTTCCCAACAACCTTGTAATGTATGTGGCGACTCTAAGGTCTCGTGGGGTCAAGTGAACTGTCAGTACTGATGACTACAATGCGTCAAACACAGGTAGGTGAGAAGCATCCCATCACTCTCGGATCTCTTCAAACTAGATACTGCACAGAAGCCAGACCCAAAGATCACAGAACGGGGACCACTGGGGACACTCTCCACACGTGTGCTCCTGGCCAGGCCGTGAACTCACCACCAGGAAACTGCACACAGGACACTTTAAGGTCGGTCACAGAAGTTTGAAATGTCAGGAAGCAAATTAGTGTCCATCGGTTAATGCTTATTACCATGACTTACTTTTTTTCTAAATGAAAGAAAAAACTGGAATGGAATTCAACTGAACGCTCAAGGCACGGCAATGAGGACAAAGAATCTGCTTCTCAGGCTTATGGCCACTGTGGCAGAGTCCACGGTCAGAGCCGAAACGTAACAGATCCTCTGGGCAGAGAAGCCCAGTGCCAATCCCAGCCCCTCTTCTGGACAGCCCGTGACTGGGGCATTTCACTGGCCTCTGGGTCTCTCGTCCTTTCATATGTAAGATATGCACGATAGGACCTGCCTCACTGATCTACTGCGAGGATGAGACAGACAGCCCGTGACTGGGGCATTTCACTGGCCTCTGGGTCTCTCGTCCTTTCATATGTAAGATCTGCACGATAGGACCTGCCTCACTGATCTACTGCGAGGATGAGACATGTGTGCCCAGTGCGCCTGGGAAACTGAAGGCCTAAGGCACAGTGCTAAGAATTGGGGCTCAAAATCAAAACAATTTGGGCATGAATTCCACTGCTTCCTTTTGCATGCTGCATGACCTTGGGCAAATTATTGAGCTGCTCAAAGCCTCAGTTTTCTCCTCTGTAATTGGATGTAAAGATAGTAACCACATGCGTAAGGCTGTTTAAGGATGAATTGAAATCATCTGTAAAGCCTGGCAGGCTTATTGCATCTCAATAAGACATGCAAAGGCCAAGCAGACTGATGTTTAAAAGATGCCTTAATTTATTAGTTCTATAAATTTTTTGGAGTGTTTAAGTGGATGTTTTCATCTGACCTGCAGAAAAATCCTTTTTATTACCAAATGAGACAAAACATGGAAGAACCTAAGGAAGTTTCTGATACTCGTAGGTTCTAAGTAATGTTTAATTTGAATCATTTTATTAAAAAAAAAATACAGACAAGCTCCGTAGGACAAACTAAATGCTTCTTGTCTCTATAGACTTTTCAAAAACTCAATTATCTTTTATATGCGTTATTTAAATGAAATTCCAGAGTTCATTTTATACTGCCATAAAGACAAGCTTTGCAATCAAAAGTTTCTGTAAAAAGCAAGCATAAATAAACTACAAAGATAAGTGAGATATTAACAATAAAAACTGATAGTTTAAGCCATTCCAAGTGCTCTTTATGTATTAATCCATTTATTTAATCACCAATATAAGCCCAGAGGGAAGGCTATTTTCATCTGCTTTACAGATGAAGAATCCTCGGTGTGCAGAAGCGTCCCACGCAGAGGGTGGGGACAGGCATGCAAAGAGCTGGGCTCAGTCTCTGCTTGTCCAGAGCAGCCACTACGCCAAGCTGCCTTTTGAAAATGATGGAGTGCATCATTTTACAACGTGTTTATTTAAAGTCTTTCGATTTCATTAACTGGATGATAGAACTACATCTTACTTGTAATTGTTTTTCAAGGCTGTTAACGTACCCTATGGCTAAAAATCCAACATTTCCAGAGAATCATGGAGACTGTCATTTTTGGTCTGTAATATATTGAAATTTATATTGCAGCCATTATTAGTTAGTGTCTCATCATTGTTGAAATAAATTCTACTTGAAATAGATCCTCAAAGCATGCCTCCCAGTCCCACAGAGAGCTGGAGGGTTGTGCAAAGGGTGGGCTGTGATTAGTGGACCTAGCAGTCTAGCAGGCACGACCTGCTTGGAGAAAGCGCCAGTCTGCAGGGCAGGGCAGGGCAGGGAGGCTGCGAGAGCTGATGGAAATATGCTGTCCACTAGAGGGCGACACCTTCCAAGGCTTTCATTTGGTTGCGTGTAATACAAAAATGCAGTCATAACAAGCAAAACTAAAATATGTGATTTTTATACTACAGATTTATGCAAAAGTTAGTAAAAAAGATCAAATAAAGATGGAAGAAGAGTCAGCAGAAATATTTCCTCCTAATAAGGCTGAGGGAATTTAAAACTATGGCAACTGAGCAAATTTATAATAGGACAGCTTCAGAAGAAATTGACCGAAATTTGAGAAGAAAATGATTTGAGCATATTTGAAGATTTGATTTACCAATCACTTAGCAATAAAGCAACAGATGGAAGATTAATATCGTGTATAAGACGATCCCTGTGTAACAGACCTCTGTAAACAAGTACACCCCAGTGTGTAATTTTACTTCATTTAATAGACGCCCAAATCATTAGGAGCAAAGTCATGAACTGAAATAACGTGAAGTTAATCTTTACTTAAAGAACTTGAAGGAACTGAGTATCACGGACAGAGGTAGGCAGCTCTGCATACATTGCCAGTTACGGTTTGTCAGAGGTTGAGCCGTATCTGTTACAAGATGTGCTCAGGATGAAAACAGATAAGACGGTGAGTGAAGGAGATCCTACTCTCAGGAAAGAAAAAGAAAGAAAAATAGGTAGAGATTTATCAAAAAAAAAAAATAAATAAATAAAAGAGAGCAATTTCCAGAGGTGTCAGTGGTAAATAACACTAGCAGATCTCTCAGTGTCTGTGTGCTGGGTTTCAGGTGCTTCCCGAGGACAGGGCAGCTGCAGGTGTGTGCACGACACACTCACCTCGATTCCTATTTCAAATCCCCCGCCGAGCCCGGCTATCCCAATGGCTGAAGGTGCAGACCAGCCTAATAAAAACAAACAAGCAAAAATATATTATTCAAACATTAAAATTCCTTGACAGATAAATATGGGAAGGAAAAAAATGCTAAAATGGAAATAGTGTTTCTTTTTTAGCCCGGCTATCCCAATGGCTGAAGGTGCAGACCAGCCTAATAAAAACAAACAAGCAAAAATACATTATTCAAACATTAAAATTCCTTGACAGATAAATATGGGAAGGAAAAAAATGCTAAAATGGAAATAGTGTTTCTTTTTTAAAAAATGAGAGAGTTATTTTCCCCTAATGTTTTAAAATGTTCTGTAAAAAGCATATACAACTTTTTAAGTTAAGGATATTTGAAAGGTGTTAGACATTCATTATGAGTTTCATGGACTCATAAACCCCTGTTGACTACACTTCCTCCACCAACTTGTGTTAAAGATTAAACTACCCACTAATCATACGTAGCATTTAATAATTCCAACTATCAAAATTTTTATAAAATAATTAAGCTGTAGCGCTAGGTCTTAGGATTTATATCACAGATATAAGAGATCAGAAGGATTCAGGAGAGTTTATTATGATCACTTCTAAGGGTAACACAACATTAAAATGTTTCTACTGTAAATTTCTGAGGGTAGAAATGCTTTGACACCTCTTCTGCCCAGTGGAAGCACAAAAAATAGGCTACAAATGCAAGATTATTAAAACTCTAACAGGATAAATTCCTTATCATTTGGAAACAAATGTGCGATAATTCCATATGCCATGATATGGCACATTTTAGGATTACTGTATGCTTATTTTTCCTGATAGAGAAACAGTTATGTTAAACAAGTCTAGATAAAGTACTTTCTGAAAGGGTTAGCAGCTTTCCAAACACCATTTCTTTACTACCACGCATTCTAGATAATAGGAGATTGCTTGAATATATCTAGAAATAACCCATCCGGGCTTAGAGGAGTTTCAACCACAGAAATTGGCGTGTGATAATCCCAAAGTTGTTTCTCATTCCCTGTGTTAGGAACTGTCCCTGCGTGGAGACCACAGGTCTTGGCCAGGATCCCGGGGAACTGGTCGTGCCTTATTTGGACAGCTTTTAAATTACCCTCAGCAGAGTGAGCGGCTGCCGCTCAGGAAGACGGGAGAGAGAAGTCCAGGTTTTGAAGCCAGGAGAAAGGTCCTCCTGGGTTCTGAGAGGAACCGGAGCTTGGTGCTGATAGATCTTCGCCCTAATCCCCCTGTCCAGGGGGCAGCTGGGGGACCTTAAGGCCTCAGCGCCTCTCCCAGCACTGACAGCTCCTCACAGATTTCTAGTCCCTCTGATGGGGGACCCCTCGGAAGGTGCCTCGGTTTTGTTTGGTTTTACTGCTGAGAAGTTTGTGGCAAACACCCAGGCAATGCTCAGAAGAGATCCTGCAGTTCCCACTTTCATGGCCCCACCCTGAGCAGTTTGCTGTGGGGACATGGTGGCAGGAAAGAGTGAATTTAACTGGTGTTTAAAGGCTGTATGTTCCACAAACACCTATACTCATTGTCTGTAAATGTCACATGCTCTCTCTCAAAATAAAATTAAATTATCCATGCTGGAAAACAGCTATTAATAGAAAAATGTGTTCACTTGTGTAACTGAAAAGCAAATGTTAAATTGGTATAAAAAGAATCTTAATTGGCTATGACACACCTACATACGTTTTAAATATTACCATAAATGTTGGTTCTTGGGATTCATGGCAAATATATTTTGATTTCGTCTCTAAAAAGTCAAGTAATAGATTTTACCCCACAAAGTAAAACCAAATTATACTGCTCCTGATATGATTCTGCCTTGGAGGAAATCCTTCAAATGTCACAGTTTTGATGATCCTACACAGAATGGAGAAATTTGCAGATGGCCCCTTATTTTCATATCAACTTTTGTAAAACAAACAAACAAAAACAGCCATGCCATGCAGCCGAGGGATAAGAGTTCACAGCTGACAACAGAAATGCACAAACAGTCATGTTTAAGTAAAGTGTGTACAGAACAGGGTCAGATCCACCCAAGTCCCTTCCTCGACTTTGGAGGAGGAGAGGAGGTGGCGGCTTGTTTCCTTGGCTTGTTCACTGGTCCCACGATGTGCACCTGTACCCGGGCAGCCCGTGTTGTGTGAATTTTAGGTGATGAGGGGGGAACCTGTCATCCTCCCTATGAAGTGTGTTCCAACTAGAAGCAGAACAAAAGCAGCAGCAAGATTATCCACCCCCCTAGTGAGCCGATGTCAACTTACTTCCATCTGGACGACGTGCCACTACGACCCCACTGCCTCCTCTGGCGGTCACCAGAAACCCAGCCTTGACCACAGACAGAACCGCAAGGCCTTTAGCCTTGGCGATGACGTGGGCTGAAAACATGGAAACAGCGGGTGGGTTAGCATGCTTTCTGCTCAGGCCTCACAGACAAGCAAGCCTCAAGCGGATTCAGCACAGGCAGGGCTCCAGGGTGTTCACCAGGGACCTCAAGGGCACATACAAGCCCTGCATGAAACCTAGTTACACCACAGACGGCATCCTCAAGCGGATTCAGCACAGGCAGGGCTCCAGGGTGTTCACCAGGGACCTCAAGGGCACATGCAAGCCCTGCATGAAACCTAGTTACACCACAGACGGCATGAGGCCTCCCTACTCCTACATCTCTTTTCTATGTTGTTATTTGTGTCATGCTAAATGCAACATCATAAATACCCCAAAATTCTACAACTGCCAAAATAAATGAGACGATTGAATGAGATTTTATTGAGTGACAGGGCAAATATTTTAGCAATTTCTGTCATTTAGGACATAACGCACAATTTAAAAAACAAAAGTTACTATTTTCAAAGAAATTAAGATCCACACAGTATATTAAGGAGAAACTTAAAAAACGACCAAAAGGCACATGGGGCAGAACTTCAATCTTGAACCACACAGCTAAGTTCACCTTTTCTTAATATAAAAACTTGGATTCCAAAACAGAAAATCTAAGTGATCTTGACACATTAAAAAGTTTTTGAACTTCATAAAATGAATTTTGAGTATTTGAGTACCATTGAACTACTAGTACACTAAATAAGTTTTTGAACTTCATAAAATGAATTTTGAGTATTTGAGTACCATTGAACTACTAGTACACTAAATAAGTTTTTGAACTTCATAAAATGAATTTTGAGTATTTGAGTACCATTGAACTACTAGTACACTAAATATAATTAAATTTATATTCATTTATCCACATTTCAGAGACATTCATTACATAAAATGAGGGTCATTAATATACGTATCCACTAAACACAGTGCCTCACTATACTGTGAATTTATTTACACAACAGTGTGTCTTTTGCACTGACAAGGGACGCCCAAAATAAAACTTTGTAGTAATTTACTTTATCATCGTTTTCATCAAATATTCTGTCAAGAAAGTGAAATCAGACATTTGTACACAAAAAGGTTTTGTTGATGTCCCCCCAAAACACTTAATTTCTAATATAATTAGTCTACTGTTTCAAAATTTAAATTAATAACAGACTCTGAAAAACATTTCATCCAAGAGCATGGAGCAGTGAACATGCAGAACACCGTGGAGCTGTTCCTGGTTAAGCAAAGGAACAGAAAATGAAGGTGCTTCTTGAACGGCAGTCTAGGAAGTGTACCTTACTTTTGCATTTTAAAAGGCTATAAATATATCGTAATGAGATTAAAAGCTATAGTACATATCATGTAGGTTTATTTTTACAGCCACACGTTGGCAGAACATCTTCAACTCCTCATGTCCTATTCTCCATGCTTTCAGAGTTATTACTTCTATTCAGAAATATTAGATATAATGAAAGCATGTGTTTTAAAAAGACCATATTCCACAGGGCAACTATGGTTTTGCAGATTATCTACCCAAATTCAGGGATGCTGAAATCCCAATAATCCCTAAATAATTCACCATTAGCTTTTCATTTATAACAGAATGTGCGAATTGCAGATTTACTTTCTAAATCAAGTCTCACTTACATCTCAGAGCCTGTAGCATCAGGGGAGGGCAAACCCATACCACCGAGAGGGTTTAAAGGTCTAGGGGGCTTGTCTTAAACGTGTTGTAGATTTCATCTTCTATCACGTGATCTATCGCCCTTGTTTTAGTATAAATAGAACTGCCCACCCCACCCCTGAAAGGCCCCAGGGAAGAGGAGCCTGACCACCTGGCAACTGTGTGCCCCCCCCCACATCCACCTGCACCCCTGGGGGTCAGCTCTAGTTACTAAGGCTAATATGTACACTGACTGTCATTTTCTGAGCTTCTCCTCCTGAAAGGGAGCCCAGGGGCCTTTATCTGGAAGCAGAGGAGTGCAAGACAGAATTCTGCTGTGCAAAATCCACGCATGACGATACACACTTAGGGATCTTCTAGCATTAGGAAACATGTGTGGCTGGCCTGACAGGCATGTACATACTCATATGTATTGAGAAATGTCTTCTACCCCTGCCTCAGAATACTGCTTCTGAAAATTCAGCTTTTCTGGTTGAGTTTTCTTTAAGCTTTAAACCTTAAATCTTCTAAAACTGTATTAGAACTGCAGATTATGATTCACGAGGTCTGAGCAAACCTCTCACATGCTCCCAGGGATGCCAAGCTGCTGGTCTGTATGCACGTGGAGTGGCAAGGCTCTAGCAAGCATCTCAAGATGGGAGAAGTGGCCAGGCCAATGTAACAAAAATCAATATTATTATTAGTATTAATATAACAATAACAAGCATTTAAAAAATCATTTAAAATCTGGCTTAGGAAAACAAAACTGGTCATGCACTGTGATTAATTAAGAGGGGAATTAGTCTGCAACATTGCCCAAGCTAGTTTGCATATGAATCTTCTTTGCATGAGATAAGTATTCGATGAAACTCCCTTTGAAAATAACTGGCAGTGTAATGAACAGGTAGTGGTTCCCAAAGGCTCACCTCTGGACCAGCACTTGGGTGGTCAGCCTGACTACACAAAAATTACATGAGAAATGTGTAAAAAATGTGCATTCTTGGCTACACTACACTGAGAGTCTGTTTCAGCAGGTTTGGAGTGGTGTTTAGGGACTGTATTTTAACGACCAGGGGATGCTGATGCACAGCTGTGCTGGGAATTATTAATGTCTTCTTAAATCACTATAGAATGTAAATATTTTATGTGGAAAGAGAAAACACAAAATTGAAATTTATTTATGAGATTAGCTAGTGAGTTTGCAAGGTTAACTTGCAAAGTTTTCAGAAAGAGATGAAAAGGACAGGTGAGTCTGGGCAAGTCTAAGTGGAAAAGGAATACGTGGTCTTTCGGGCACCAGTGCCACCAAGGGCAAAGTCTGTGCAAGGCAGAGGGGGAAGAGGGAGGAAAGAGAGGCCAGTGCCTGCTCCAGGCTGCAGGTCTGCAGATCTGCAGCTGCCCTACCTAGGAGACAACCTGGGAAGAGTACTGAGGGGCTTCAGAGCATCCCTGGGTCAGCTGTGGGAAAAGGTGGGTGGTCTGAGCACCCGCTGGTGTCAATGGGGTCCTCTGCCTGGAGTGAAAGAAATGTAAAGAGTGCCAATAGCAACTGAGGAGACAAAACAAGTTCGGAAATGAACAGCAAGCACTTGATTTACCTACCGGGAATGATCTTATCAGGTCCATTTCCAGAAGTTATTTCTGTGAATTCTCTCAATATTTTAGCAGCCTTCTTTGCTTCTGATTTCAAATTGGAGGGTATAGGGTTATTCACTGAAAGATTAAAATATATATACAGTAATGAAAAAATCTACTAAATAGAAGTTAGAAATTTATCGTAATTTCATTTTTCTCATGCGCAGTTAAGCATTAACAAATCATATTCTATCAGAGAAAGGAAATGAACTGGAAACCCTCATTATTCACTGTATTATCTCTATTTTCCTAATAAATCAAATCTACTCTGAGATTGGAAAACCTTAAACTCTCAAAACCTCAGGAATTATAAAACCATGGGATCCAAAGGATCTTAAAATCTGGTCAAACTTCCCCAAACCTCCCCTGTAATTAACTCACCTTAATGCTAATACGAAAAGATTAAAAATTTAAAAATTAACAAAAAAATATGTTTTACAGTTTGTCTGTAATACCTAATATAAAATTTAATATGATGGCACTTCAAAAAGTTCGTGGAAAGATTTGTATTATCTTTCAATTCTAGTTTTCCACGAACTTTTTGAAGTAACTTCATACATTTCACTATTCTGTCAAAAATGTTTGAATTGGCTGTCTTAATAGACTTTCCCATTAGTAAGATTCCAGGAGACTTGGGAATTGAGTGATTACTGCAAGTGACAAATGCCTGCATCTGTACAGCCTTCCACATTCTCAGTGTTGCTTGGATATTCATAGAACCACATGAGCACTGATTTGTGGTATCGAAGCTTACATAACCTCCAGCTCTGATGTAGACTGGGGACAATGGGCCATCCCCTGTCCCTGGACAAGGGGTCAGAAGAGCCACAGCAGTGGAGTGGCTTCACCGTGGACCTCACGAGCACGGGTGCCGAGGACCCCCAGTCTGGCTGTCTGCAGCTGGGAGGCACACACGTGACTGTAGGACTGCAGGATCCAAGGTCAGTGGCATTCTGCTGCACCACTCGTGTGATCTACAGAATGCAGATGAAGGTGCGCCGAGGGAAGCCTGACGTGGACCAATTGACCAGACAGCATGGGGAAAAGAGCCTTTTAATTTTTTTTTTTTTAATTTTAGCAAAATACAGATATTCCTAATAAAATAATATGATGCATTCTGGTGCCTGGTATGTTTGAAATATGTGATTTATTTTAAAAGTGGAAACCAAATTACAGTCATATCGGAATTCTGTTTTCTTAAAAAGAAATCAGTGTTGTTGTGGTCCAACACAGGAGAATTAGCAAGAATCAAGCCACGGGAAAATTGATCCCACAAATCGTCAATGGTATTGGTTTGCCTAGAGAAATCTATTTCATGGATATTTTATGCAAGCAAAGTGAAATGTGTGTGTGGGGGTGTGTGTCCTTTTCTCCTGTTTTAAATTGCATTGCATCACACTATTAGTATGTTTTGAACTGTGCATTTTTACTCAATTTTATTTCAGAATAGTTAAAATATTGGCTCTCCATGAAGGCCTTTAAAATCAAGTTTATGAGATATAATTTACAAAATAAAATTCACCCATTGCATAGGTTTGGCTCAGTGGGCTGGGACAATGGGTAGACCCCCTACCATGTTTCCATCTCTTATACATTCTGTCCCTGCCCTTTGTGACCAGGGAGTCGACCCTGACCCAGCCTTGGGTCACCATATGTAAGTTTTGCCTGTGCCAGAATTTCATGTAAATACAAGTAAACATTGTGTATTCTTTTCTGTCCAGCTTATTTCACTCACCACCAAATGAGTGAGATCCGCTCATGTTGCCACAGGGACCGAAGCTGGGCTCTTTCTGCTGCCGGGCAGGGTTCACGCTCTTCCGCTCACTTGTTGACCAACAGTGGGGTTTTTCCCAGTTTTAGGCTATTACAAATAAAACTGCTATGAATATTCATGTTTAAGCCATTTGTGGACAAACATTTTATTTCACTTGGGTAAATACCTAGGACAGGAATTGCCAGTTCATATGGTACACACGTTTAACTGTGTAAGAAGCCACCGAAGAGTTCACTAAAGTGATTGCTCCATCTACACCTATGGAATATACTAAAAAGCAAATGTACTTCACATGGCCTGGTTTTCCAAAGCTTTACAGTTTCAAATATTGACCTTGCAAGGACAGGAAATTCTCCTCAGGCTATAAGTCTCTGGTGCAAGATAAGGATTGTGGCTCAGCAGGTTGCTGGCTCAAGGACAGACTAGTTACTGACTGTTATGTAAATATACTGAGAAATTGCTGTAAGATCACTTAATTGTCTACTGGAATGTCATCTGACTTGTTTCATTGAAAGTCACCAGCCTATATTGTTAAACTATAACCCCACCTTTGTTCTCTTCCTGCAACTTCCTGGTCTGGAAAATAAATGCAGGAAGAGAACCCCAATTCGGCGTTAATTTCCCAAAGAAGGGATGGCTCTCACTGGAGGGTTCTGTGGAAGTTAACCATGTCCGGGCATCTCACTGCTCAGAGAGATGGGCTTTAAGAAATCCTTTGCATCTCTGTCACCCAGGGGAAGTGGGGTGACAAATCCGTGGCGGGGGCGAAGCAACACAAAGCAACATACACTGAGAGTCCTGGTCACTCCCTGTCCTCACCAACACTGGGTATGGCCAGGTGTTTGATCTTTAGTTGTTACAGTGGGTGCAGGGTGGCATTTTGTTATGGATTCAGTTTTTGTTTCCCAGATGACTGCTGACGTTGAACACTTTTTCCTGTGCTTATTTCTGTATCATGTGGTAAGTGCCTGATCACGTCTTTTGCCCATTTTAGAAAGTGCTTTGTGTTTTTGTTGCTGTTGTCAAAGATCTTTACACATCAGAGATGCATCTCCATCTTCAGTATATTTTCAGAACGTTTTTCCCAGTCTGTGGTTTGCCTTATCATTTCCTTAACTGTGTCTGCTGAAATTTTAGGGGCATATTTTAAAAAAAACATTTAAACTTTTCTCCCCAGTTTTGGTGCTCAAATTTCATGTATGTTAGATTATTTTTCCCCTGCACATGTTACTGAGGTCTACTGTTTTTTTTCGCAGCGTCTTTTCTCTCTTTGCTTCCTTTCGGGTATTTTCGACAGCTGTGTCTTCAGGTCCACTGTGGTTTTAGGTCTGCTTTTCAGACCATCAGACAGACTTTTCACTTCAAATACCACGTTTTCAGCTCTGAATGTTGCATTTGGCTGTTTTTCGTACCTCCCATTTCTGTCCTCACGATGTTTATGTTGTCTTTTCAATCCTGGAACATATAAGGATGCTTCGAAATGTTCGTGGAAAAACAGAACTAAAACACAAATCTTTCCATGAACTTTTTGATGTCCCCTAGTATTTAAAATAGGCGTTTTCATCCTGCCTGGTACTCATATCATGTCTGTTATTTGCGGTCTGTTTTTGACTGATTTCTGGCAAGGTGGATGTTGTCACATGTGCAGCACTAGCTGTCACTGTCGCCTCTGGTCGGTGGCAGTACCTGTGATGGTAGCCGCTGGGCAGACCTTCTCCAGCTCGTCCTCCCGCTCCGAGTGGGTGTGGAGCAGCCCTGGGACTTCTGCAGCCCCACTGCTGGGGGGGGGGGGCGGCCCTCCAGGGTGTGTCCCCCCGGCTGCTCTCCCTCGTCGCCCTGGGTGTGGAGTGGACTCTCTGCGCTCTGCTCAGAGCTGCTGTCCCCAGCTCCGTGTGGCCGGGGACTTGCCCCTCTCGGCTGCCCTGAAAGTCACCCTGCGCACACGGAGCTCACGTCTGTCCGGGGACGCGAGGGGACCCTCCCTGTCCTGGTGACAGCGCCCGCTCCCACGGCTCCTCTCCAGGGGCTTGGACATGTCCCGCGTGGGGCAGTGTCACTCCGAGCATGTCGTCCAGGTTCTGGCTGTAACCACCAGCTCCGTGTGGCCGGGGACTTGCCCCTCTCGGCTGCCCTGAAAGTCACCCTGCGCACACAGAGCTCACGTCTGTCCGGGGACGCGAGGGGACCCTCCCTGTCCTGGTGACAGCGCCAGCTCCCACGGCTCCTCTCCAGGGGCTTGGACACGTCCCGCGTGGGGCAGTGTCACTCCGAGCATGTCGTCCAGGTTCTGGCTGTAACCAAAAGTGGCAATTCCGACACCAGTTTCTTCGTCACGGCCAGAAGCTCTCAGTGGACTTTAAATTTGCTGTTGTTCGGTGACTCGTTGACTCTTTCCGTTCTGTCTAATGTTTTTCTTTTTCTGGTCCATTTGTAGGCGTGATTCTCTCTTTCTTATTGATTCATATATTAAGGGAATTAACCTTTTTTCTGGAATATGAGTCACAAATATTGATTCCCAGCTGACAGGGAGTTTGCATATGATGGTTTTTTCTACCTTTTTTTCCTTAAAGAAATCAAATTCATCTTCTAAGTCTTACCAGTTTCTCTTAACTAACTAAAGTAATTCTCAAGTTTGAATGGAAAATGCAAGAAGGAGTAGGAAAAAATATGCAAAAAGAGAGTAACGAAGGGACCAATTCTGCCGGAAACTGTGACATATTATAAGGCCTCGATAATTACTGTTTTGTAGTGAACGCAAATACAGGCAGGAAACGCAGTTTTACAAAATAGAAAATTCAAAAATTGACCCAAATATATAAAAGAATTAGTACATGATAAAGACGGCACCTGAAGCCAATGCTGAAATGAGGTACTGTTCAATAGTGGTCTTTGGGGGAAAAAATAGATTTGCCCACACCTTCACGGTACATAGGGATGAACTCCAAATTCATTAAAGATATAAAATGTCAAAAATCAAATCACAAAAGAACCAGAACTTATAGAAAAAATAGTTTTCAATTTCATGGTGCAAAAAGCCCCAAGGATGACAACAAAATTTCTATATTTTTAAGTGAACAGGAATTATGGCACAGTACATTAAAAAATAAAGGGAAAAGTATACGTTTGCAAATACTGAAGAACAGGGCACCCCCGCTGTGAACGCCCACCAGTACTTCTGTTGGTATTTTAGTGTCTGCTCCGAATTATTCCTATTGCTGAACACGTAGACTGTTTCACTTTTAGCTTCTATAGATGCTGCCTTTGGATGGTAATTATCTTAGGATAGAATCCTTGGAATTTTTTAAAAGTTTGTATTACATTATCAAAACACTTTCCAAAAAACTATTCATGTTTGGAACCACTGGGTATTACCATAAAAAACATCCCCAGTGCTCCTGGGGAGGCTGATGGAGGCACAGCAAGCATATCATAAAGACAAAGACGGGATGGTTTATCTTTATTTGAAATTATCTGAGTACTAGAGACTTCTTCTTTTGTTCACATTTCCTGTTTTGCATACTTTCTGTTCATGCTTTTTGCCCGTTTTTCTGGTGTCATGCTCCTTCTGGACTATAATTTCAATCATATTGCAAGTCTACACCTCAGCTTTCTGTTTTAAAATTTTATTTATAATTTTTAGCACCCATCTTTATATAGCAACATCTCTCTGGGCTCTCTACTATTTTATTTCTACCTATTATAATGAACAAAGACTTTCATTAAAAAAATTATACAGCTATATTTCTATATTTTCTTCCAGAGCTTTTATATTACGTTAAACATTTTACCCACCTCAAACTTATATTGGTATAGAATGTGAGGTAGGAACCTAATATTTTAAAAATATACAAAACAGTTTATTGAATAAGCCATGACACAATTAAAAATGAAACCTTCGTGACAGAAGCAAAAAATAAATAAATAACATTCACTTAAAAATACATGACAGTGTGACATGGTAGATTAATAAATTATTCCAGAACTAGTCACTCATATTAAAATGAAATAAAATTAGATTATATCACATAATACACAAAAAATTTCAATGTATTGAAACCTAAATATTAAAAGCAAAATTTAATGTTTTCAAAATAAATAAAAGGGAATATCTATATTATTTGGGGTATGGAGGAATTCCATAAACAAGGCACAACAGTAAAGGGAAGCTGTAGACATATTCAACTACACTAAAAAGACATATCAATATACACTTAAAAAATGAAAATATAACCCACAGACTGGAGGATATTTATCATACATATAAATCAGAGATTTGAGATCCAGACTATATAAAGATCTAAAAAGCAATAAGAAGACAAATAGCACAATATTCACACTTTGCACTGGGCAAAGTGTGCAATTAATTTATAGAAGAGGTAATCTCCATGGCCAACAAAAATTGATCAAATTGACTAGGAATCAGGAGGTACAAAGTAAGACCATAATGAGTTACCATTTCTTATCCAGTAGACTGAAAAAAGTTACGAATCTGCTGGTGAGTGTGTGTAGGGCTGGGGCCCAGAGTGAAGCCCCGTGCCCCGTGGTGGGTGGTAGTGGGAACGTCAGCAGCACGGCTGGGACAGCTGCACCAGCAGAGGCAATGGCACTTCCTAGGATGGAGATACCCCAAAGGGAGCACTCACAGGTACGTATTGTCACCCAGTCCATGCATCCACCTGGATCCTGCGAATGTAAACTATTTGGAAAATGGGTCTTTGCTGATTTAATTAAGTTAAGGATCTCCAAGATGAGATCACTGTGGATTCCCCAGCTGGGACCAAAATCCAGTGATTAGTGTCCTTGTAAGAAACAGAAGACACAGAGGGAGGGGAGGAGAGGAGAGGCCATGTGGCCATGGAACAGTGTGGTCACATGCCCAGGAACACCTGGAGCCTCCAGAAGGCGGGCAGCCCTGCCATGCCTGGACTTCCCACTTCTGACCTCCACGACTGTAGAGAATACGTTTCTGTTGCTGTCAGCCAACCAGTTTGTGGCAATTTGTGACAGCAGCCCCGGAAACTAACACAACATGTATAGAATGTGCACCAAGGCAATGTTTTTAAAAGCAAAATCATAATAAATAAAAATGAATACATTTATAATAACCTAAATTTTCCTCAAAAGAAGGATGAATACATACAGTTTGGTATAGTATTAAAATGAAATTCAACAGAATTTCAAATAGACTAGAACTATGCACATCATCTTGGAAAAATATGAATATTGAAAGGACCAACAAATTGCATAAAGATACACAGAGTATGT